CCTCAAGTGATAGATTCGTTATAGTTCACAGCACCCCTCAAGTATAAACCGATGTTGAACAACCAGTTGAACCACAAGCTTCTTATGAAAATGATGGTACAACATTAAGGAGATCCACTAGAACTATGAGGTCAACCATTACTAGTGATTATGCAGTGTACCTACAAGAATCTTACTCCAGTATTAGAGCTGAGAATGATCCCGAGTCTTTTTCATAGGCCGTGAGTTGCAAAGAGTTAGAACTATGGTACAATGCCATGAATGAAAAGATGTGTTTCGTGAAGAGTAACAAAGTTTGGGATCTAGTTGAGTTGTTTGATGGTGCAAAAGCCATTGGATATAAATGGGTCTTTAAGACAAAGAAAAACTTATTAGCCAACATATAGAGATAAAAGGCGAGACTCATTGCTAAGGAATTCACTCAAAAAAAGGAATCGATTACACAAAGGTCTTTTCTCCTATATCTAAGAAAGATTCCCTGTGTATTGTTTTAGCATTAGTGGCTCATTTTAACCTTGAGTTGCAACAAATGGATGTGAAAATGGCATTTCTTAATGGAGACTTAGAGGAGGAGGTTTATATGAAACAACTTGAAGGATTTCTCTCTAGTGATGGTAAGCACTTGCTCTGTAAGCTCAAGAAATCCACATACGGTCTAGAATAAGCATCCCGTCAATGGTGTTTTAAATTCCATGGAGTAATTTCTTTATTCAGATTTGTTGAAAACCCCATGGATCAATGTATATACTAGAAAGTTAGTGGGAGTGAGATATATTTTCTTGTTTTGTACGTGGATGACATTTTGGTTGCAACTAATGATAAAGGGTTTGCTACATGAGGTAAAACAATTCCTCTCTAAAAATTTCGATATGAAGGATATGGATGAGACATCTTATGTTATTGGCATCAAGATCCATAGAGATAGATTTCGCGGTATCTTGGGTCTATCTCAAGAAACCTATACCAATAAGATTTTAGAGAGATTTCAGATGAAAGAATGTTCACCAAGTGTGAATCCCGTTGTAAAGGGTGATAAGTTCAATTTGAACCTATGCCCAAAGAAAGATTTTGAAAGGGAACAAATGAAGAACATTCTATATGCTTCTGCTGTCAGAAGCTTGATGTATGCTCAGGTCTATACATGGCCTGACATTGCAATTGCTATTGGAATGTTAGGACAATATCAAAAGAATCCAAGCATAGACCATTGGAAAGCTACAAAGAAAGTGATGAGGTACCTTCAAGGAACCAAAAACTACATGCTTATGTATAGACGGATGACAATCTAGAAGTAATCAGCTATTCAAATTTAGACTTTCCTGGCTGTGTTGATTTATGTAAATCAACATCAGGATATGTTTTCATAATGGCTGGTGGAGCTGTATCTTGGAGAAGTATCAAGTAGTCCTTGACTACTACTTCCACTATGAAAGCTGAGTGCGCTTCTTGTTTTGAGGCTACTTCACATGGTGTTTGGATAAAAAGTTTCATATGTTGGCTTAAAGTTATGGATTCTATTTCTAAACCATTAAGAATGTACTATGACAATTCAGCTGTTGTCTTTATGGCTAAGAATAACAAAAGTCGAAGTAAACACATTGACATTAAGTACTCAACCATAAGAGAACATGTTAAAGAAAAGAAAGTGGTCATTGAGCACGTAAGTACTAAATTGATGATCATTAATCCTTTGACTAAAGGCATGTCACCATTGAAATTCAAGGATCAAGTAGAGAAAATGGGACTTGATTCCACTATGTAGTTGTATCTACAATGCTTGGATGAAACTCTTATTTATTGTCATGTTTTCTCATATTCATGTGTACCTTAATTTTATTTAAGAAAATTCAACTGTAGGACCAAGAATAAACATAAGGTTTATTCATTAAGTTGCCATATATATAGTGAACTTGAGAAATTAAATGCATTGTAATACATGGAAGATAATACTCATTTTTAGAAGACTTTTTGCCATGATTCATGGATTTGTTTCTTAAGAAAATAATGTTTTAAACGTGTGGACCAAGTGGGAGAATGTAACATTTACATAGCATACAACATAAAAGTGAAAATTGGTTTTGTATTAAATCAGTTTATTGTATTAATGGTCCACATTTTGCTTTAGTTCAAAAGTTTCTTTTTCAGTTTTTGTAACCATTATAACCAAAGTTATGACAGTCATTAAGTTTGGCCATTAAAGCTTGATGGGAGCTTTGGCTGTAAATTGAGATTTTGGCCCCTAGGCTCATACACTCAACTCAAACAAAATACACCATCATATTGAGTGTTCTAAGAGCTTAGAAGAGACAAAACGCGAGAGAAAACAATGGGTGTGTGATTGAGAGCATCAATGGTTGGAGGTAAGTTTCTTGTTTTATTTTTAGTTATTTTGATCCCTTTGGTTTGTCAATTCTGCATCTAGAATCAAAGATTATTCAACATAACTAACATTTGTCGCTCCTCCACAACTTGTGTAGAGGTTTGTTCCAAGGATGGGTGCGACGCGGGCAGAGGCAAGGCCAGGGAATAGGATCCCCAACCCCGTACCCGACACCCTAAGGGATTACTGGTACCCATTGCAAGTATGGTAAGGAATACCTATGCTTGCCCTACGGGGATGGGGTGACCCCTATTCCTGCCTCGCTCACCCCGTATATCAAGGAACTAACGGGGAAAATTCCCTCTAATTCCTCGAGTTAAAGGATCTCTTAACACACTAAACAGTTTCATTTTAATCAAGCACATTAAACAATTTCATTTCTACCATCATTAAACAATCATTAAAAGATATACCATCCGCGAAGAAAACTTTATCAAATTCAAATTCACACCCATCATCTACTTCTGAATTACACCAACCTTGAGCCTAAGGGGTCCAAAATGTCAACAAAGTGGAGGACATGGGTAATAGCATATATACACAGTTTTGATCTGAGATACAAAGTCATAATTGAGTGAAAATTGTACTCCAATTCTTGCAAACATCTGCCATAGATACAAAATCACTTAAACCTGACTTCTCTTAGATCATCTCCAGGATAGGATTAGGTAGATTTGACCAGAAAAAGAAAAAGTGAATATCTGAAATAGAATGATCCATTTCACTATTGTACGGTTACCCCCAATAGCAGTTTTATTTTCAGGAAGAGTATATGAACTAATTCGTAATTAACTAATAAGAAATAAAGACATCTCCGAAAATACAGTCGCAGATATGAACTAACACTAACACTTATATTGCAATTTGAAACGTTGTGTTTTGGATCCTAAATTGTCTTTTTCTTCTTATCTGTTTACTCAAAAGAATAAGATATTTCATAATAAAATTTTGATAAATTTTCATTTTGCAAATTTATTACATTGAATATCAAAATTAAAAACAAACTCATTTTACTTCGTCAATTAATTAATAAATCAATCTTACCATAATATACTTGGTCAATTAAATTACGTTAAAATTGATAAAACTACATTCCATATTAACGTAATTTACTTGATCAACTATATTATGTTAAAAATGACAAATCCAAATTCAATGTTAACATAATTTACTTGTACAATTACAATATATTAACATTGACAAAAATATATTTCATATTAACATAATTTACTTGGTCAACTAAATTATGTTAAAATTGACAAATTCAAATTCAATCTTAACATAATTTACTTGATCAATTAAATTATTTTAAGGTTGTTAGAACGATATCTAATCTTAACATAACTTACACTATTTCACTAGCTCCACTCCAACTAAAGAAATTAGAAATTAAACATCATAATTAATTAGTTAATTAATTACTTAAAAAGATAAATGAATTTGTGTAATTTAATTAAATTATTTGTGTTATTTGTTAGTCGTGTCAATTCATTAGAGAAATTTATGAAATTAGCAAATTTAAATTAAATTTCATTGATAATATATATATACTCATATGATCTTGATTCTTGAAAATATTATCAAATCAATTACTTATTTGAAAACATAATAGATTAATAATTTTTATTCTTTATTCAAAGTTAAAAATAATTTTGAATAAGTTATTATTAATTGAACACAAAGATTTATTTTTCGTCATTAGAACTTAAAATGTCAAAAAATTATAATTATAATTAATTGTATGGATGCAGGGTAGGGAATGTGCGGAGACGGGTACAAGGCTCAACAGGTCGAGTCCGTCGACAATCCCATCCCCGCTCTATACCCAAGGACAAGGAATTTCCTCATCCTCGTTCCCGTCCCCATCCTATACTTTTTTGGGTAATCCCAACCCCATTTGGTACGGGTCGAGTAAAACGCCTATCCTACTTATGACCAAATGACAAACGCTTTAACTTCTAAGATTAGTTATACTCAAAGGTCTTGTTCAAGAGAGAAAGTTACCAGATTTACCAACAAACATAGTAGTCCAATTTTTTTTACCAATTTGCGAGTATAATACAACAATTCCCCTTCATTAAACGGGAAATAAATAAGTTAAATTATTCATCTTTACATATTTGTCTTGAAAATAGTAAATTTGAATTGTGTTAAATTATTCTTCTTGCTATCATGCTTCTTGAAAGCATTCAAAAGGGGCCAACTAAATTCTCATTAGTCACAAACTTTATCATCTAACGAGTATAAAACCATCACAATAAAATAAACAAGGAAATTTATCATCTCAATATCAATCCTTGGGAGACCAAATTTCATTCAGAAGAGTACATGATCCTTCAATAATAATATTTCAAATTCATAGGTAGTGTGCTATACCTAATCATATTATTAATGAGAAGTCCTAGCATTTCACCATAGAAGTTCAACTAAGACTATGTTAAAATATAAACTGTTCACAATAACACAATCCCTGAAGGCACCAACCAAGTCAGGATCAATCATCAGATCTCACCTGCCAATGTCACCATAACCAGAATCAGGAAGTTGAGGAGAATGTAAAAGATGGTATATCATTGATAAAAAATAATGAAAATAAAGTGATATATGAGACGAATCATACTGACGGTGAACGGGATCGCGAAACACTTGGACTCCTGCTCTGACTCCAACTTGGACTACGCTCTCTTCGGCTTCTACTCACACGTCTGCCGCGAGGCTGCATATTATAGGATTCATTATCAAATATTATTCAACAATAGATGTTGCAAGATTAAGCCAACATGAATTTACACTATATGAATCATTTTCCTTCAAAAGTTAAAGATCGAAAATCCAGATTTAAATTTCACTTACAGGTGACACTGGAGATCTGGATCTAGAAGGTGATCTGCAAAAAATTCCAGAAACAATCCAATTCAATAGAACAATCCTTTATAACCTTTGATCCATAAGCCTCAACGCCATTTCCACCGCAATGTGAACACATTCAGAAATAGAAAATTACCATCAATCTTAGCAGCAATCAACAGTAAAACATCAAACCAGTATCGTATTATTGCACCTCACCATTTACTACCGATCCTTCCCCAGCATGTAATGTGAGCTAAAATAGACAAAAGATAAAAAGAAACCAGGCAAAAAGAGAATGGCGCACAATAATACAAAGTACAACAGGAAAGAAACACATCCACACAGTCTATATATATCACCAAATTAACGAGAATCCTGGGCAAAAGTTTGACAGAGCCAGAAATCTTGAACTTGTCAATAGCGCAGACTCATTGGGGATGGTGTCAAATCAATTGTACTTAAATCAGTATCCAGCTTTAAAATTGCTACCCATCCATCTTTCTTATACTGATCCATGCTAGCTTTCATTGGAACAGCATGCATAACATGTCAGAATTATTAAACCATTAGGGTTTTTCCAGAGGTGCTCATCAACAAAAACAGTATTACCTCAAGAACAAAATGAGTTGCAGGCTTTAGGCACCACATCCCATCAAGTTCCTAACATCCAATCCCAGGTCGCCGCAAAGGAGATCTAGCAAACAAACAGGCAACCTTCATAAACAAGGTAAGGCAACGGCTAACCCACAAATCCTTTTCTCAAATTTCCCCATTGAACTTTGAAAAATAAAACTTTGAAGTTTGAAGGGCAAGCCCAAGTTGTAGTAAGAAGGTATTTACAAAGAAAAACAGAATGGATCATTATGATAAGAATTGTCATAAAGAAATTGCAAGCAAAGTGACACTGAAATACTTCTCACAAGTCCAGCAAAAGATAATGTTGGGGTCCTTTTTGGAAACACAATAAGATTTCAAAGTGAGATGCACAAATCATGTGCTGGAATAAAAGCAATATTTGAAAAAAAAAGAGGAAATAAAAGCAATAAATATAAAAAGGTATCATTGCCAGAGATTATGGAGAACACAATGGAAAGATGCAAACGGAAGTCTATGAAAAACAAATAAAATGAAAATGTTTTAAGCACTTGTAAGAGGAAGTATTTCCTTCCAAGTGTCAAGCCTGGAGAATATGTAATAATAGGCAAGAATTGCAACTCTATAACTGGCAGGGAATCACACAGAGTAAAGATTTTACAAGCAACCATCCATTAAGCAACGATATAGAAATCAAATATATAGGGGTTTATATTACTGGGTGGTTGAAGTGACCACAAGCACTAGACCTAAACACAACTAAAGTCAGCTATTCTTTAGCTGAGTACGCTCATTAATTACCATATATGTCATTCGAAGTACCGACTTTGAGGATTACCATGTGAATGGAATATTTTGTAAAATTATGATGAGCTGACAACTTCAATAAGAGTGAACCTGAATAGGGGTAATATTTGGAGTCTAGAACCAGAAAGACTTTAAAGTTAAATCATGAGAAGATTGTCAAAATGTCAAATTTTAAAGAATAATGTGATGTCAACATATGCATAAACTCCTAGATGATGAACTGCAATAATCCCAAGCAGAGACCAAATAATGACAAGATGACAGTTTTGAAGGTTCTGGAATTGACAACTCAAGCTTGGTTTAACCACACAAAACTAGACAAGCCAGAATAAATCATTGACCAGCTCAACTTTAGCCAAGCTTGGTGTACTTATTTTGCAGTCTGATGTTAGCCCTACAGAGCAGGAACAGGCTAGCTACCACAGTTTCAAAAACTTGAAACTCATAATGCCTCAGGAAGGAAGTTCTATAAAGCATACAAAGGAAATAATAGCAGCTGCAATAATGCAGTAGGAATAATACAGCTGCTAGCTAGCCAGCCATGACATCAGTAAATTTCACTGTGTTTACAATGGGAAAGGTGAAAAGCCAGCAAGTTAAACTGAGCAGTTAACTATTTTTTCCCCTCGTAAAAGAAAAAAAAGAGAGAAAGTAACAAGATGATAATTGCTGCGAATTTCCAACTGGTGAACAGCAACATAACTGACAAAAGTTAAAGAACTTGACTTAAAGCATATTGTTATTCAGTGCAATTCCCAGCCGCATGATTATCTGTTAGCGATACTGGATGCTAAAAACTCATCCTATCAGACATAATTACGCATATTTAACAGGGAAAAAAGGTACTAACCAAGAAACATTAACAAACGGTTTTTATAAAGGGAGCTGCTACGTAAAAGCCACATGCAACACTTAATGAATACACACACACACACACACACACAAAAAAAAAATTCATTAAATAACTACATTTATGAACAAACTATTTATTGCATCTCAGAATTTCATTTTTATATTTTATTTTCCTAGGAAAAAAAATCAGCAAGACTATACCTTGAATAAGAGCGGCCAGGTGATCTTGAGTAAGAACTAGACCTAGCAGGAGATACAGATGGAGACCGACGTGAATATTTGGCCCTGGGAGAAATGCTGCATACGCTCAAACCCAGTCAATTTGTATTCTGCCTAAGCCAACTTTATAAGTTTTATTGTAAAAAAACTAAATCAGACCTCCTGCTCCTATCGCTGTAGCTGAGGCTGCGACTTCTGCTTCTTGAATAATATGGGCTACGACTTCGGCTTCTTGAATTATATGGACTGCGACTAGGGCTTCTAGAGTACCTTGAATCATACTCCCTCACCTAGATAACATGAAGAGGTAAGTACAAGCGATGTAGATGTGCATCCGGAATTCAGGATTTAGCACTGAAAAATTAACGAGGCATACCCGTACATAAGACCGAGAAAATGCATTACGAAACGCAGATCCATTGAGCTTCTTTATCTACAAAGTCAAAGCAGAAGAAAATATTACGAGAAACACTTAAAGAGGTTGTCACAGTCATTCTTCCAACCATCCCCAACCACATAAAACCAATAATGATTTTCCGATGAAGTACAATAAACTAACTTACAGCATATTTCATATCATCATAGGTTGTGTAATCCACAATTCCAGTCATACCTGCAAATATACCACGTTAAAGATACATAAATTTTCAAGTAATGATTTCTCATATGTTTAAAGTAACAATTTCTTATATGCCTTAAAAAGTCATCTACCTACATCAGAGTTCTATAATAAGCCATATCAGGTCAATCACCTTAATAGCACTGACCAAACTGTAATAAGTAATATATTCTCTCCACCCACAAAAATCCACAAATATTCAACAAGAGATTCTAATCACCCCCTGCAGTCTACCTGACATATCCATCTTAACTTCTTCAAAAATCAACTACAACTTTACTATAATCCGTAGTTGGTATTAAAAAAATGAACCATTACATTGCCTCTAATACCAAATGCCATTACCCTGCCAAGCAAGGACGTACCATATAGAAAACATCCCACACAAACAAAACTAAACACTGGAAATTTACTTACCCCCACGATCACGAAACACTTGAGAGAAACAGACATCCCCAGCTCTACGCATGTGATCCTGATCATTGAAGACATGAGCAATACTCAATTAATTAAAAAGGTCCATAAGCTCAATTATCCTCAAAATAAAAAGGCAATAGTCAATTCCTAATTAAATCCACACAAATTACAACACACAGTTATTGGAAATATCCATCACACTCACCTTAAGGTCTTGCCATGAAGCAGAAGAAGGTAATCCAGTCACCAAAACTGTAACATGAAAATTATATAAGATCACTCATCAATTGGATGTAGCTTTCTGAGAACACAAGTGCTGTCAAAGGCAACACATACCACGATAGTCGGTGCGCCTAGAAACTCCACGGCTACCTCCACTACCACTGTAACTGCTGTAACGATCAACTGATGATGAATGTCTTCGCCCCCCATGTGCAAGTTCAACCTAACACAAATCAGATAAAAATAAAAGCAACAATTCAATAAAGTAGGGAAACAAATAGAAACCGGAGGAAGTAAACAAGCAAGGAAGATTAGCTGCTCACCCGCAATCTGTATCCATCAAAATTATAGCCATCCCGACCACGAATTGCATCTTCAGCATCACGGTAATCCTCAAACTGAAATTCAGATGATAAAGCAAATTGAAAAATGCCAGAAAAAATGTAACCTATTAAATCCTTCCACAATTCAAGTACTTCTATATCAATCGAAAACTACTAACTCACCTCGACAAAGGCATAACCCGGAGGTCTGGGAGGGATCTTCAAGTCAATATCAACAATGGGCCCATACTGCAATCACAGAGTCAATACAAATTCCTTATAGTCCTTACCAAGCCAAAACATATATCATACAGGTTCACCAACAGCATCTCGCATTATTATTACTTATACAAAAAGAAACAAAGGCGACGCCAATAATACAAAAACTCACAATAAAATACAAATTGATTACCTATCTGCACTTAAGGTGGTTCGAAATGCAAATATTGCATCATAATAAAATATTCCTACTTATAATCAACAATAGTTTAGAACTTATGCAACACATCAACAAAAAGAACCAAGCTGAAAACAAACATGCAATGAGTCAAAATTGAAGTACAAACATTTTCCCCAAGCAGAATTATTTATCCCGGTTGGCTGAACAAAAGCAAAAGCCTATTTCACAACCTAAGCATAAGCATGATGACTAATACATAATTTAGTCGATGAAAAATAAAGGGTCCGAATATCATCCCATATCAAACAAGCAAATCATAATTCAAACTAAAACAAAAAGAAAAAACCTTGTAAAACAAGTCTTCAACTTCTCTCATTCGAGTATCTCCAGGAAGATTCCCCACGTAGAGTGTACGGCTCGATCGGCTGCTCATTTTCTGTGAAAAAGAAAAAAATCCTAAATCAAACAATAGTAAATGAAAAACTAAAAAAAAAAAAAAAAAAAAAAACATGGCGCAGCAACATAATAAGATTATGATTTTAAATGTTCTGAATGCCAGATCAAAAAAAAACCTTGCTGCGCGATTATGAGACCATAAATTTGAATAATTTAACAAAACTTAACTCAGAATTAATGAAACATAAAATAATTAAGTTAAGAAAACTGTAAACACAGACCTTTTCGCAGAAGAAAGTGGAGATAGAATGGTTTAGAAGATGGAGAAGAAGACGGTTCTGGAAGAATGCTCTTGTGGCATCTTTCAGTGAGGGCTTGAGGCTGAAAGAGAGAGTCGGGAAGGATCCTCTGGTGTCACGTGGACGGTTGTCGTTTGAGAGTTAGATTTTGATCCGACGGTTGAAGATGAGCAAGTTTGCCAAATAGGATGCCAAGTCGTTTAGCTGTCATAAATATGAACGAATTGTCGGATCAAGACTTGAATTTGCAATGAATCAAATGATTGATTCGAGCTCAATGGGCCACATGTGGCCCATTGACTTTTAGTCACGTGGAACATTTGCCTTACTATTTTGTGTTGACTAATTCAACCCAATGTCAAATTTGTCAACTACAATATATTAATATTAAATAAAATTTTCTAACGATTCTCTGACAGCTCATTTACCGTATAGAGAGATTGTTGTTATTTTCGAAAGGACGTTTCAATCCCATAATATTGGATTATTGAAAATTATAAATTACTGAAAAGTTACGTTATCATAAGATTATGAGATATATTTTTCTTTAATTGATGGGTATGTTATATTAATATGTTCTATTATAAAGAATAAATTAGTGGGTATGTTATTTAAATTACTGAATTATTTTTTAATTAAATATTATTATTTTTTTATATTGATTTTTATTTGGATTATATAACTCCTTACATTTAAAAACTTAGCAAAAATAACCCCATAATAAAAGTTTAGAAAATCAATAAAGTACTCTCACTAACCCAACCATCGCTGACCATCGATAACCACCGCAGGCCGTCGAAAGCCGATAACCTAACGGCGCACGGAAGGCAAGAAATGGTCTCCGTTTTCCTACCTTTCGTGAGCCAGAAATCTGGCCATAAATGGCTACACGTGACAGATCTGGCCGTCGATAGCCAGACCTAATCTGGCCATCAACGGCCAAGTCGATGGCCATTGACAGCCAAATTTGGCACACGGCTATTTTTGGTCTTCTGTGCATTGTTTCCACGGCGACGGTGGCAGATGGGTGGGGGTGGTAGCTTGGGTGAGCTACAATTTTTTTTAAATCTAAGGGTAATTTTGTCTAAAAAGTTAATTAATTTGGGTGAAATAGAAAAAGTCATATTCATGTAAATAAATTTAAAAATAAAGGCATTATTGTCCTAAAATTTTATTAATAAGGGATAAAATTATAACAAAAAAAGATAACCCCAGTAATCTTAGAATACTTAAGAAAATAGAGGTAATCAGATTACCTCAAATATTATAAATAGTAACTGTTATTGGTATTTGAAAATTATCGGTATCTTATATTACTTGACAACTAAACATAGTAATTAAGTAATATAAGATAACTTAACCCTAATAATCTCACATAACCCCCAACCAAACGTCCCCTAAAGAATTTTTATTATTATATTATACATCGTAAGAGGGTTTATGCCATTACCTCTTCATTGAATCACATTAGTATAAATTGTTTTACAATTTTGCTGTGGTCACATGATAAGCTCGTTTAATAAAACTTTTACTATAATTTATCAATAATTTTCCTCCATCATCTAGTAATAACTATCGCTTGATTGTTTTATTGTAATAAGAGTAATGCTATAGTTACCGAAAGGAGCACATCGAATTCATGCATCGAATGACATAACGAAATCCAGACTGTCAATTAATATTAATTTATAATTAATCAACAATTAGGATTACGTTACGTTATTTAGTGCATGAATTTGGTATGCTTCTTTCAGTGACTCTATTATTTTCCTTGTAATAATTGATCAATAATTACCTTCTATCGTTCAATAATAACGGTTATTATGAGAAGTGATTTTGAAAATTAACAATAGGAGAGGGTTTATTACCCCCACTTTGCCAACGTGGCCACATGGACGGTTGAGAAATCTCTCATTCAAACATGCAGATGACGTGGCTCGTAGATTACCATTTAAATTTAAACATAAAACCTAAAATTAAACACGTGTAATAACAACTAGACTCAAAAATCCACGTGGCATGATATGAACAGTTGAAACGTTGACGGTAAACAAAGGCTGTTAAATTGTACACGCAATTCCACCCGGTTTCTGCCAACTGTTTTTTATAAGGAGCTCCACAATCTCGACTTCGCTTCATCCTGCGTTTTCAATTTTCTCTTCTTACATTGACAAAATCACAAAAAAGAACGCACCTTGCATTCATTCTTTCTCTACAATGGCGGATGCTAAGACAAAGTTCGAATCTTTTAGGGAATGGATTGTTGAACACAAGCTTAGAACCGTTGGTGAGTTTTTTATATTCTTTTTTCCGATGTGGGTTTGTGTTTTTTTTTTTTTTTTTGTGTTGGGGGATTTTTTTTTTTTTTTGTTGGTTTTATTGATTTGTGTTGTTGTTGGTTTTGTTGACAAGGGTGTTTATGGCTTAGTGGGATCACGGGCTCTATCGCTTACAATTGGACTCAGCCCAATATGAAAACCAGCGTCAAGATCATTCATGCTAGGTGAAGTTTGATCCGTTATCATGAATTATCTATGTGTTTGTTTTTAATTTTCTTTCTGTTGTTGTTTGGGTGAAATTTTTATTTGTTTGTGTTGTTGATTTAGGTGGGCAGGTTTTATATGAGATGTGGAGAGAGTAATCAAATATTAGGAAAAACAAATTTTAACTTTTGAATATACTTGTGAATGTTTGAGATTCAATCAATTAAGGGGTTTATTGATCAAATGGTTTTATTTCTCTTTGGTGAAATGGATTTACATGAGAAGTTTTAGGCTTGAAATTGTTTTTATTTGTTTCATGGCGGAAGCTGGATTTATGTGTTGGAATGATTCAAATTGTGATTAGGTCGAAAAGGCGAAATCCCATTTCTACAGGGTGTTTTTAGTGTATGAAACTAGTTATCATATGCATTGCAATTTGATGTTTCGTCTGTTTTAACTTGTTCTCTGATTTGGTAAGTTTCTAATAGATTTTGTTTTGAGGCCTCACTTAACATGTATAAACACCCTGTCTGGAAAATTTGTCCATTCTTGAATTGTTACCCCGACATGTCATCATAGACAAGGTATTTTTTGAGTTACTGGTGATGTTCTAATTTTTATGCATGACTCTTTTTCGCGACAAAGAAAGATTGGCGGTGGTGAGTTTATGTTGATGTAATGGAGGTATTTTCACAAGTTGGGTGATCTGGTTGGTTGTGGATTTTACAAGTTGTTGGTTCCATCAGGAAGCATAATGGTTGTGGCTTTTTTTGGGCCCCTTAAAGGGATATGTTTTTCGATTTTTGTGTGTGTGCATTTGTAAGAGGTAGACAAGGTGATTCGAAGACTTGAGAATGAGAACTTAATTTTATCTAGTCTTATGGCTAACAGTTGTGAAGCTTGTTAAGACCTCACATGTTTTATTTCCTTTTATTAAGTCAGGGGTTCTTTAGCCCCAACAAAAAGGTTTATGGAGGTTGGAGTTCTAAGTGGACAAGGCCTTTACCTAGTAGGTTGAAGTTTAGTTTCTCCATATTGTTGTTGAGGCCTGGAACCATGATATATACAGTTGAATGCTTATTGCAAGCATCTTGTTTCTAGTACTTGCTTTGAAGTTAGCCCTTGGAATTCATAACAAAGACGCAATTATTATCCTGAACCTTTTTATCAGCTGTTTGTCACGAATGTTACACATTTCTATTTATGTTTTGGATTTCAGGCTTTGCTGTACTCTTTTCAACTAACTAATTATCTGCCATATACCAACGCAGGTTGCATGCTCAGGCTCTTACTCTGGCTGCATTAGCCGGTGCTGCAGTAGTTGAATACTATGACCACAAATCTGGACAGAAGGCTGAGCGATATGCGAAGTTCCTCCCAGCTGATGCCTACTCACACAAGGACTAAATAAATAACCTTTTGTTCGGCGCCTACTCATTCAAGGACTAAGTAGCCATTCGTTCAGCATATTCTTAAACAAATTATTGCTAAGCATATATTGAATGGATAGTTGCAGGAGTTTTTTTGTTGGAGAGGATTACATTGCTACTTCAATACATTTTTTTTTTCGGTGGTTGTATTGGTTGTTGAACATATCAAAAGTAGTACTGATATTTATTACTCAAATTGATCAACATCAAGTGTGTGAGAAAGATCATAGAAAAGAATGTATTTTCTCAATGTTACATTGCATAATCAGTAATATGCTTATTTCAGTTGAATAAAATTACACATTATGGCATCTTTATCAAGCACCTTCTACCTAAATTCTTTTTCTTTTTTATCTATTTATTCATGTGTTTGAGACTTGTGAAAGGGTGGGCTGGTGAATGCTACATAGCTGTTGGCTTATTGAATTTAGCTTCTGTGGAGCGAGTGATGGGGTAATATCTTTTATCCGTGGATCATTTGATGATATATATTATATCCATGAATTCTGGATTACCAGTTACAGTGTATATAGATTGAACATCAACTATGCCAAAATATTGTCTCTGCTTTGAGATAAATGGTGTGGAGTGCAGAGGATGATTGGGGATATGAGTTAGACAAAACATTGATTCAAGTATGATCTATTTCAATTTTCAACTCAAAAGTAAATTGATCAGTTAATTAGAAGAAATATTAAAACATTACACGTGCATTGTACTGAAAAAACTAAAACCTGCACATGGAGAACTGTTGTATTGTTCTATCACAGTAAGCAAGCCTAAATTTGTTGATAATACACAAACTAAATCAGAGAGAATGTAAAAACTTGTTAAAAGTAACAACAATCAGAAAAGATTATGTTAAATTTCAGAACCTATATGAGTAAAAAACTGCGACAACGGGTGAATTCCTATAAGACCAGGACAATAATCACTATAAGACAAATTTTTTTTTTTTTTTTTTTTTTTAATAATAAGAGAGAGGGATAAATTATAATACAACTTCTTGTTTGACTGGTTTTTGTAGCTTATTTAGTTTATTATTCCGTCCTAAACTCATAGTTGGAAGTACAAAACTGATTCTGAAGAGATTACCAAAAGAAACAGAAAACAAACACCACAACACATACAAATCGAAATCTTAACCTTTCCACTATATAATAACATTGCACGAGACTTTGATTTCACAAATTTACTATCAATTTGTTCATCAATCCATAGCTAAAGCTGCTTATTGATCAATATGGCTAAGAATTTCAACTTTGTGGCCTGCTCTCTTCTTCTTGCTTTGTTTTCTCTCTTTCTTCTTGCTCCTCCCTCCCCATGCCACGCTCACATTCTCAAATTTTGTAAGTTCAACGCCATATATCAACTCGGGGACTCGATTTCTGACACGGGCAATCTGATTCGGGAGAGCCCTCAATCTCCGTTTGCTCGGCTTCCCTATGGAGAAACCATCTTCAACAAGGCAACCGGGAGATGCTCAAACGGGTTACTAATGATTGATTATATTGGTAAGTAAGATCTTAACTTCTGTTTTGTCCTGATCTTCCCTCCATATTTGTATAACTAATTAATAATTAAACTGCGTTATAATTTGTAAATTTGTAGCTCTATCGGCTGGTGTCCCCTTGCTTGATGCCTACTTGAATCTAAACGCAACACACAGCCATGGCCATGGAGTGAATTTTGCGGTTGCTGGTTCAACTGCTTTGCCTGTGAATGTTTTATTAGAGAAAAGGATTTTAGCCCCCGTGACCAACTCTTCTCTCAACACACAGCTTGACTGGATGTTCACCTATTTCAATGAAACCTGCCCCAAACTCTATGAAGGCTACTGTTATGAGAAACTTAAAAGGTCTCTCTTTATGGTTGGGGAGATTGGAGGAAACGATTACAATTATGCATTGTTTCAAGGCAAAACCCTCGAGGAGGTCAAGGCCATGGTGCCCGATGTTGTCCAAGCCATTAAAGATGCTGCTACTGTAACTCTTCTTCTTCTTCTTCACTCCTCATAATTCTATGGTTATTAGAGTTAATTTCTCAATGGTACTGATTATTTAATTGATTTGGTTGCAGAGAGTAATCGAGAATGGGGCTCGTAGAGTTATTATTCCGGGAAACTTTCCCATTGGCTGCTTCCCAATCTATCTAACTGGATTCCAAACCAATGATTCTACTGCTTATGATGAGCTTCATTGCCTAAAGGGGTTAAACAACTTTTCAATGTACCACAATGAGTGCCTTCAACAAGCCATTCAAGAACTCAAACTACAATACCCTAATGTCGCTATTGTATATGGCGATTATTACAACGCATTCTTGTGGCTTCTGCGCCATGCTTGTTTGCTTCGTAAGTTTATTAATTAATCTCTTTTACATCTTTTAATATGAACCTTACGGAATTCTCTGTAAAATTGAACAGGTTTTGATGTTAAATCAGTGCAAAAAGCTTGTTGCGGAGTTGGAGGTGAATATGATTTTAGTCTAACAAGAATGTGTGGAGCTCCTAACGTTCCAGTTTGTGGAAATCCCCATGAAAGAATCAGTTGGGATGGCGTTCATTTGACACAGAAGGCTTATAAGATCATGGCATCATGGCTCATTCGTCACATCTTTCCAAAGCTTCAATGTTTTCACCACTGGTTTTAGTTTTGCAGGCTAACCATTTAATTTTCTTCATTAGAGGAATACTTTATTAATTAGTTAATTAGTAGCAATGACAGAGATTAGTTTTTTATTTTTATTTTTTAAATAATTTTTCAAGGAATTAAGTTGTTAATTTTGTTCTTAATTTAATATATTATAACATAGCAAACATTGACCTATTATTTTCATGGCTTTGAGGGTTACGCATTTTAGTGCTGTACTTAGCCTAACAAAGGTGATTACGAACTTAGATAGAACTTATTCTCAAAAACTAGTTTAAAGGGAATGACCACATATATATACTTACCCCACTAAATTAACAATGTAGAATAAATACAATTTTTAACAATAAGGGATTTCATATGCATACGCGATTGTGAAAACCAATCTTGACATTGGTGAGCGGCTATTACGTAGTTTTCATATCTATTTCAAATGAATTCTTACATTGGTTTTTGCCTTATTATAGTCTTTGAATGTTCAAAAAATTCATCTGTATGATGTCTATCTACTATTGCCATTTCTTTCATAGTTGCTTGGTTTAAAGCCTAAATTACTACCTTCAAAATGGTATGTAGATGAATGGGAAAACTACTTAAAACAACCCATTTTGAGTGGCGGGAATTGAAAATTAACTAACTTTTGAAGACTATGGTAGGGAAGAACCCTTCACCATCCAACCATGGAAAATAACCTTGATTTACTTGGTTTAAGGCATTACGTGCATGCAAATACACACATTGTGAGAACTACACTAATTTACATATGCTCGTTTCACCAAAGATTATCTTTGCAAACCTATATGACTTATTCTTCCAATTTTTTACCCTCGACAAACCGATGTATTGAAAATCTAATATACCAAATAAGGTAACAATAACATAACATAACGTAACAAAACCATCAAATCACTTAAAATGTTATTTGTTTGTCTTGATTTGGTAAAATCTCCCCTAAAATAAGATTCTAAGAAAGAACACCCAATCATCTATTGCAAAAGAGTATATGGCCAAACAAACAAGGCACCAATGTGAAATATTGAGTGTGGTTTTGGGCGCCCACACTTGATTAGAGATAGGCGTTTGCCCCGACCCCGCGAGGATCCGAACCAACCCAGCCTGAATGGGGGCGGAGAATCCTTGAAAAATTCGGGGATAGGGCTGGGGATGGTCCTTGGAAAAATCCCCGCACCCGGAGACGAGCCGGGAGAGGGGATAGTGCAATCCCCGCCTCGCCCCTCTTTTTTAAGAATTTTATGTTTTTTTTGTTTCCTTTGCGAGATTGTATAATATCTATTAACGTACTAATTTCTCACAATTAAAATAATTTAATATCGTTGTCGTGAGAACATGTGAAAAGTTTTGATTTACACGATGCAAAAATCCCCACGGGGAAAATTCCCCACGAAGCCCCATTCATCAAGTCGGGCCGAGACGAGGATGGTAGTGATTTCATCCCCACAGGCCAGGGACGGTCATGAGAAAAATCCCCGCCCATGAGGACGGTCATGGGAGTGGGTAACGGGGACTGGGACAGGGAATGGGGTCCCCGGATGGCACCCATCCCTACAATTGCTGTACTATTGTACTGTGAACTCTTGCTCGATGAAATGTTATTCACTGGCTGTGTTGTGAAGAAACAAACAAATAATTTCACCAGATTCCTGAGCTTTGGTGAATTCAGAATCTCAGATAAAAAATTTCACCAGATACTAGTTATTTGGCAAATCTAGAAACTATATAGCCTTTGTCATTGTGCCTATTCAAATAGGAACTTCTTCAAAAAAGCAGCTTTTACAGTCACTGATCTGATGCGATGTGATGTGTTGTGTCATTTTCACCTTCCATTTGCATCGGATTTACTGTGCTCCCTCCTTCCTTTCCAAGGCGCCTCATGTCTTTAAAGAATGTCTCAAAGTGCTTTAACTCTGTTATCTTCAGGTAAAGCTGCTGTCAAAGGCTTATGTTTTTAGACATTAGTAACCTTGTGCTGTCATTTTTTACTTGCAGTGGAAAGGGAAAAAGTGAATGTAACTTCAGAGATGGGACCTGGGAAAAATTTACAAATTGCATTCTAAATATAGGTAAACTGTGATTCAAAATATTTTGATTTGAGTTGTTGGCAACCCAAATTTCACTAGGACATGAAGTTTATAAGGTGGGGAGCCCATCATTTTTTCAATTAGTTCTTGGGAAAACACAGAAATGGAGAAAAACATAAGCCCATGAGCAATAATGGAGCTGGGTCCAGGCAGTAATGATGTGATTTTGCCACCATTAGCTGAAAATTTAATGGAGTTGGGGCCTGAAGATACCTAAATCTGGTACTTACAGTTATTGCTTACTTCAATTCAAATTTTTTTTGAACCATTCTAGTAAACTGTTTACAGGAGCTCAACAGTACAAAAGAACAAGAAAGATTTCCTGATATCTTCCAGGCTAGCTCTCCTGTTTGGTTGTCTTGGAAAGTTTGATGCTTTCATTTTCATCACTAGTTTTTGTTTTAATTTCATTGTACTTTTGTTGCAGAAATTAGTACATGAATGACATAAAGTTGATGTTATAGATAGCAGGCAAAAGCTAGGTGGTTCATATTAATGGTTCAACTTTTAAACTTCTATTCCCTGGATAAAAAAATGAAATGGGCAAAAATGATGACGGTGAAGAACCCAAAAGGAAGAAGCCAAAAAGAGGTGAAGCAAATTGTTTGGGATGAGATTTTGAGCATCAAACATATCAAAATCAAAGTCAATTGTCTCATAATCTTGAGCTCCTTTATGTCAATGTCTAGGAGACACAATGCCCCAACATAAATATAAGATCCAACTATTGATATTAATGATAAAGAAAAGCAAATTGGGTTGGCTTAAGATCTTTCCCAAAATCTCAACAAACATCTCATGGATACAAAAACTAATGTTGAGTGGTGAGTGCACATGCACCACAAGCTTGAGCCCAAGAAAATACAACCAAAATCACTTGAAGTTCTTTCTGGAATTGTGGGTCAGTGAGGGGGCATCCTCATGGAAATGTGGGTTCCTATGGGGGGGCCTCCACCACCTAACCATAATAGGGCTAGGGCTAGGGCTTAGCTATCTCAAAGTTGTTATCATATTATTGGTTCAATAATTCAAGATATTGCTTCATAAATTGTCCATTTTAAGTTACAGCATACAAGAAGCCAAAGATCTCACATTATCTTAAGCTTTTGAAAATAGGTAGAATACTATTCATTCATCTTACAATGCAACTGAGCTTAAAGAAAATAAGAAGAAAAAATATATATCTATACAATTTCTTTTGAAACCCCATCACAGATTGATTAATTAATTAATTACCTGGAAGAAACTGGATTCCAAGCTCTGGCAATCCCATTCATGGCACCATACCCTTTTGAACTAAACCCTAAGCACCCAAGTAAGCCTTGTCTGTAAGGCAAAAAAGTCTTCTTCCTCATCTCTTCAGCTTGAGCTCTATTTGCAGTGTAATGTAACTCATGTGGTGATGGTGGCATTCTCCTCTTCCCTATCCCATTCACTGGCTTCTTGACACTTCCTTTGCTTTTAGTATTATTACCACTACTACTACTACTACTATTTTGATGCTCTGAACCTTGATTGGTGATATCCTTTTGGTGATCTTTTGAAGCTGGAAGAGAAGAAGTTGTAGTGGTAGTGGTAGAGTTTGAGGATTTCTTCTCTTTAAGAACTGGTGAAAATGAGATTGTTGACCAGAACTTGTTGGTGCTTCTTCCTTCACTTTTACTTCTGTAAAGAAAATCTTTTAAAAACACCCACCTCTTTGAGCTTCTTCCAGCTGAAGATGATCTTGAAGAAGAAGCTGAAAGTGAAGCTGCTGCTGTTGTTGTTGCTTCCAAACCAGAACTTGACTGTTCATTCTTTCCATCATTCTTCTGATCATTATCTTTATCTAAACAAGAAGCACTTTTGAGTTGCTCAACATCGTCATCATCATAAGAAATGCTTCTCAGTGGAGACAAAGATCTTGTTCTTCTCCGTATAGATTTATCGCGCACAACTCTTAGATCTCTACCTCGATTCGACTCATTTGAAACCTGTACATTACATTCTTCCTCCTCGTCAAGATCCAACAATGGAGCCAGAACCTGAGGCCGCTCCAAATGACTCGACAGCTTCATGGGTCGGATCTTTCCATTCAAAAACAACTCATCAGCTGAACTCATCGACCCGGTTGAACCAGACCCGGATCCGAACTCAAAACCAAGAGCCACAGAACTACTACTCCTCCCAGTCCCATTATCATCCGGTGATGATGATGATGACAAAACTGGATAGGAATATGAAGCTGTTAAAGCAAAGTGCATGGGACTAGCAGGAGCACTGTAATAGAACCCACCATTAACGGGCTCGGATCCTCGACCCGGACTTGAAGGTGCACTAACATAAGGAGTGGAGCAAGTGCTGTCCATATCTTCAAAGAAGTGATGCTCTTGCTCTTGCTCTTGCTGTTTCCCCAAGTGGGCATGTTTTGGAAGGTCATTTATAGGGTTTTGGGTATTGTTGGAGGTGAAGTTTAAAGATTGGAGCTCCATTTTTGGCTGAAAATGGTGAGAGGTTTTCAGGGAGAAGGAGGGAGAGGGACAAGAAACATAGATAGCTGGTGCAAGCTTTGAGTGTGAGTTTGTGTTTAATTTTGGGGTTTTGGTTTGATTTATTTATATGACAAAATGGATTGTCCGTACAATAATTTTAGGCCACATATCTTTTGGAGAATATTTTCATGGAGAAAACAACTTTTTCCCACCCAAGGTTTACCTTAATGACTTTTCCCACCCCAGAAATTTTGAAATACCATTTTTCCACCCAAGGTTTATATTCCGTTACTATCTAAAATACACTTTACTTTCTTAGCCAGCATTCGGCGAATTACCAGGAGCCAAGGTGGGATGGGTTTGTAGAATGGAGGTCGATGGATCGAATGATAGTGATCGATTAAATATTTGTCATCGAAACTAACCAAAAAATCAACTAAAAATAGGAAATCTTGACTTTGCAATGGTTGATAATCAACAAGAAATCAGGTATCGGAGTGAGAAAGGTTTTATTGAGAGAAGACCGGAGGTTCAAATGGTGATGATAGAGAGAATTTTTGCAATCGAAATTAACCATATCAGCTTTGGTAATAACAAAATATAAATTTTGGGTGAGAAAGGGGTGTTTTGAAACTTTGTGGGTGGAAAAAGGTCTTTATCGTTTACTCTATTTTAATGACTTAATCATTTCTCACATTTTATTTTATTAAGTTTTATTAGGAACTCAAACCTTATTTTTGTTTTAACCAAGGTTACAATCTAAGTATGCACACCTCAACTAATCAACTTGATTAATATTAAAGGAGACTAGCATAATAACCTACTGCCATGGCCCTCACTTATATCGGGAATACTCAGATGTAGAATCGAACCTGAAACCGTGGGTCTATCCACGTTATCCTCAATTTGTCCTTACTAGTTAAGCTACCCGAGGATAGGTGGAACTCAAACTTTATCCTTATATGGAAAAAGATTATGATAATAAATGTCCCAATTTAACATTGTAGGGTATCTAATACATGGCACTTATGATGGTCACATAAGTGAAGATCCCAAAATTTCATATTTCAACAATGGAAATTCTAACGATACTTTTTTTTTTTTTAATTCAGTCTTTGTTAAAAATTATAAAGTCAAATTATAAAGAGTATTATAGTCTTTCATAACTTTACCCTTACCACATAACTTTACCCCCAAAAAAATTACTTGGATAATGAAAATACTAGCAACACTCTCTTTTTCTTTTTCTTTTTCTTTTTCTTTTTTTCTTTTTCTTTTTTACTTTTTCGAACGAACAAAAAAAAATATTAAGTTTGTATTATAATAAAATTAAAATTATCTTGAATTGACCACTTTATAAAGATCTAGTGATATATGTACATTAATAAACATTATAGTCAAATTTTATTTTATTTTTATTCTTTTTACTTTGTATAATAGAATATAAAAAATAAGAAATACCAACTTGCAAAGATAAGAAGAAAATCTTAATTATATTATTATATATATAATATTAACTCTACTTTATATTTCAAAAAAAAAAAAAACAAGGGTATTATCGTCATTTCAATTGCATACTAGTATTAATTAATCTAAGAAGATACCTCAAAAGAAGATGAAAATGGGTTGATTGGTGTACAATTTATTCTCCCTGTTTCAACGAAATCATATAAATGCAACAACCCCAACAAAGTCAATGCCTGCCAAACCCCAATTAATGCATTTAGTGTAAGGGTATATAGGACGTTACATTTTTCAACTTGTATTATAAAATAAATATTATATAGTTTGAAATATGAAAATAAAATGTTGATAGCATTGGGAGAAGAGTAGGGATCTTGGTGGACAAAATGTAAATATTTATTATTTATTATTATATTAAAAGTGAATTGGGTTCATAAAATGTCAAGAGAGCTCCACGTTCTCCTTTCATGTCACCCCACTCTTTGTTCTATTCTTTAATCTCTTTATAAGGTATGTACATTTACAAAATATTACTCCGTCACGTCACGGCTCTCCACTTAAATCTTGAAAGCCAGAAGAATTCGAACCTGTAAAATCTTAACCACGCATTTTAACGTTTATCCTATCACTTGAACTATTGGAGGGATTAGTGCTCTTTTTTCAAATGCCTTTGTTTATTTCTTTTCTTTTTTTGGTGATCGAGGGGATGTTTGGGCCAGCCTATACACACCTTGACAAGTTCATCAAAGTCCTGAAGTTAATGAATCGATATACCCTTTAATAGCCATTTGTATTAAAAATCGAGGTAACTTAAACTCATAATCTCTTAAATAGTACATTCAATAGTCATTGTCCAATCACTCGATCATTCATTATTGATTTATACATTTGTTGTTGAAAAGCAAGAAAGCGACCCATGAGAGTTTAGTCGTATAATTAGGTCCGTGGTTTATTCCTATAAAATTTAATTACTTTATAGACACATGCATAATCTAATCTAATTTAATCTAATCCTTGAAATCATAGCATATGGATCTCAAAGAGGAAAGAAAAATAGATTGTTCTGAAACTTATTATATAAAATAGAAATAGAAATAGATAAATAATGACTGACAAATTCTGAAGAAGAACAAAGTTATAGTAGGGTAGAGAAGCCCAAATATTCATAGGATCCTAACTTCTGGGCAGCTATTATATTTCAAGACCATCTAAAACCTCTCTAATTAATAATTAATCATTTGATTAAGGGACAACGACATTTTTCCCACCCAAGGTTTGGCCAAACATCACTTTCCCACCCATCAAGTTTCAAAATGACACTTTCCCACCCTTTGTTAGATTTTGTTATGATTTCTGTTAATATATTTACTAAAAAGGCGAAAATATCCTTAAGTATTTGACCTTATAAATTTTTTATTATTTTTTAATTAGCCAAAAATTTAAAAAAGAAAAAATAGGTAACCCCACCTTAAAAGTTAGGAGTAATGTTATAGAATTGTTTAAAGTTAAATGACATTAATATTTATTTATTTATAATGTCATCAATATCTTATCCACTATTATTCAATAATCTACTAAATTTATAATGTTTTTCATGATATAATGTTTTTATTTTTACTAATTAACATAGAAAATCAATATTCCTAATTAATTAAATAAATAAAGGAAAAAAAATATCTTTACACCTGAACTAATAAATAATCGAGTAAAGACTTTAACTTAACTAAATTTTAATTTATAATAAACTATTTAAAGGTATTTTCATCTTTTCAGTCAAATATTAACATGAAACACTAACAAAACCTGACGAATGGTGGGAAAACGTCATTTTGAAACTTGACGGGTGGGGAAGTGTCATTTTGAAACTTGATGGGTGGGAAAGTGTTATTTTGTCAAACCTTGGGTGGGAAAATGTTGTTCTCCCTTTGATTAATTATAAATTAATCAGAAAAATCAGAATGAACATGCCGATCTGCAAAGTCTTGCAGAGTTACAGGGGCTCTCTTTTGCAGCATCCAAGAAAGAAAGAAGAATATTGGTAGTCGACTCGATGGGGACCTACTAGAGAAGACTTTGTCAATAAAGAAATACTTCCACATGGTGTGTTTTCATATTTGTTTTACATGGCTTACCCATGTGGGTTTTTTTTTTTATTATATATATTCTAAATAAAGTTAAGCAGTAAAATATCATTGGAAATATTTGACTTATTATTTTTACCTATATTCTCAATTCTATTCTTCAAATAATATTTAACACATTATTCCAGAAATATTATCCTAATTTTTTTAATTACTTTAGACCTCATAAGGTTATTAATTTCATTAAATACCCTTGAAAAAAAGTTTAAAAACTAACAAAAACATCCTCGTGACCCATACTTGCCAGATTCCGGCAACCACCGTCGATGGTAGCAGGAATCTGCCACAACGGTGAATTACCGACTGGAACTGGCCGGTAATTCACCGATATGGCCGAAAAAGGCCAGATATGGCCGTCGTTGACCGAAAACGACGGCCAAAGATGGTCGTCGTTTTGGCCTTTTCCGGCCGTCGACGGTCACAGCAGGCCGTAGATCTGGCCTTTTTCGACCAGATCCGTGGTGGATCTGGCCGGAAAAGGCCATAACGACGCGTTACGACACAGACTTGACCGATCTGTGTCGTAACGCGATTTTCTGGCCAGATTCCGGCGGTGGTAGCCAGAATCTGGCACTGCAGGTGGTGGGGGATATTTTTGTCATTTTATATGTTGGGGTGTTTAATTAAATTAGTAAACCTAGGAGCTTTTTTATAAATTTTTAAATTTTACCTCGTAATACTCCCCTATTCAATTACCCAATATTATTCACAAAATACATTCTCGAAATATTATTATATATTTTTTAATATCTTTTAAACCCCCCTAAATTTGTTAATTTAACTAAACACCCCTAAATATTTTTTTTAGAAATTGCAAAAACACTCCGGCCACCGTCCAATGGTGGTGGCCGGCTGTCCGTATTTAATGGGTGGGTTGGGGGTGTTTTTGGTAACTTTTAATATTTTATTATATGGGTGTTTAGTAAATAAACAAACATGGGGAGTATTTTTGTTAATTTCCAAATCCTACATCGTAATACCTACCCAATTTAACTTTTTTCAAAATATTATTCTAAAAACTATCAGAATAATGAACCAAACAGAGCCTAAGAGTTACCCAATTTAACTTTTTTCAAAATATTATTCTAAAAACTATCAGAATAATGAATCAAACAGAGCCTAAGAGTCTCAAGTGAACTGTCAAGCTACCTAAAGGTAGTTCTTCTTCACAACATTCACGACATATTTTCTAAAACACACTTGTTGTCTTTCCTTATTTCTCTTTGTTATGACCAAGACTTAATGCTTTATATATATTATGCTAAATAGCCCGTCAGACTCATAATCATGCATCTCGACTAATTGATTACCGCAGCAAATCATCGCCACGATCTCTTCCTCAAATTGAGGATGCTTAGATAGGAAATCGAACCTAAGACTGTGTGTCTATTCACACTATTCCTAATTTGTCATTGTGATCGTAAGTACTTTTAATATTATTTGATCCAAAATAAACTCTTATTAATATTAAGGTCACTCATATGTGGTTAGGAACTCCTATTAATATTAACGTCACTCATATGTGGTTAGTCACTCATAACCAGTTATGAGTGACTAACCACATATGAGTGACGTTAATATTAATAGGAGTTTATTTTCGATCAAATAATATTAAAAGTACTTACGATCAAAATAGTGTTTGTGAGATTTAACTTACCATTTCGACCTCCATATTTGTCGAACATTACATTTTGACCTTCCGAAGAAACAATTTTTTAACTGGAGAGGTTTTTAAAGTTTTCAAGAGGGTTCTTAAAAATCTGTGGGTTTTGATTTGAATATTTAATATTGATTGATGTCACAACAACAAATAAAATGAACTCATATTAAGATTGGTTCTTATATGGGAAATCTTGGGGTTATTATTTTACTATTTTATATAGTTTTAAGCGGCTATGGTGTTATATTTTATTAGATTTTGACTGCTCAAGAATTAACCTATTTTTTGGCCTTAAATTAGTGAATGGATTTGGTCCACTTATATGCAGAGACTATATTTTATGGGATTTGGTCCATTCAAATTTAATTAAAGAGAACCAAAAACAAGAAACCCTAATCCAATATTTGGTGGGATTTGGTTTCAATATTGAATTACATCACATTTTCCAAACAAAATTATAGAAGATTTTAGTGAACCAACTATAGAGGATTTGAGTAAATCAACCAGATGAACTAGCAACCACAACTCTTGAGTATAATTATGTTCAGTTGGGAGTTGGGACTTTGCTATCATTAATGTTAAGTTAGAGGTTGAGAATCCTCTGAAGGGTCCAGCCTTTTAAGACATAAACTTACCAACAGAAGCTTTCTGCGGTGTGCTCCTATTTTTAAGGATATCACTAACACCATTGCCAACATTGTGACCACAACCTCAAATGTGGCAGGCCACTTCTGTCTCTGTGAAAACCATGGCTCATCCAACCCTCCTAGAAGAATACATACTTTTAACTGCAAAGACATGTCACACCAGAGTTGGAGAAGCTTTGGATTTTGCTATCATGGAGGAGAGGTATTAATATCGTACAAAAATTTTGCAACGTGGGAAGTTACACGTTGCAAAAACCTTGTCCTTATGATAATACCACAGTATATGTGATCAAATGCGACAGCTTGTGTAACGTTTGATATGAAGAGTTGCCTTAGAATGGAAATATACAAGCATGAATACATAATGGACATTTTCTGAATGATACATTTTCTTTCCTTCCAAAAAGGAAAGCGAACGAGATTCACCAGGTAAAAATTCATATAGATACACTAGAATTTGGAGAAAAGAAAAAAAAATACCTTAAAGAAGGGCTTTAGAAGAGCCAAAAATCAGAAACCAGTTCATCGACCAAAGAAGTTAATATATTATTCTCCATCTCTGTACCCTCTTCTAATGCTTCTATTTCAAAATCAATCCATTTGCCATATTGTGAGCTCATGTCCTTGTCTACAAGTTCGTCAACCATTAAATCTCCCATGTTATTCCAACCCCGTATTCCCTTGTATAATTCTTCTGCCAACCAATCCTTCCTTTGAAAGGGTGTTACACATTTAGACCAGCCCTTGCAGCTTCCGACAAAAAGTTGTAGGCCTTTGAAATCCAGGCATTCACGGACATAATCAAACAGAACCTTTCTTCCAAGTTGGCAGAATTCATCCCCATTGCTTCCCATTTTGTTTTTCTGATTCTCCAACTGATTGAAGAGATTTGGTGTTATTACTTGGTCAGTCTGACCCAATGCAAACTCATTCACCATTAGTTCTGAATTGTCAAGTATTTCCCTCATGTAGTCGAGTTCCCAGCTGCTCGATTCCTCGGCATCTACAAAACTGAATGATCTATTTCTATGCCTTTTTCCTATGTTCCCCACCAATATAGAAGATGCCGAGTCCGATAACTCTGTCTCCTCATCCACGGGAACAGATAAATTAGCAGGGAGCCAGCTGGATTCTGCTTGATCTCGAGCCAACAGAATGTGCTTGCTTTCTAAAAAGAAAAGTATATAATTTGGTTAGCAATCTTTCAGTAGACCATGCAGTTGCACTTAAGCACCAAGAAGCAATTCACATAATCATCTTGAACTGTTGTTTGGCATATACAAGCCTTATTATAAAACATCTGTTAATTTACCTTCAAACAATATGTAGATCTCATGTAGCAAAATAGATCCCCAATATGCAAAATATACGTATTAATCCAAATAATTCTGAACTTGTTGAGCACCATTTTCCCTATTTATCTCCAAAAACCTCATGGTTAATTCTTTTCTATACGTGCTTCCAAACTTTTACTAACTTAACATGTTTATATTTGGTTGCCAAGAAGTGAATAAAGGTAAGACCATAAATTTACCATCGGTACTGTTTCTGCTATCTGAGCAGCTCACACTCGTTACAGAGGGTTCAAGACTTGAAATGGCACTAGAACTTTGCCAATCTTCTGTTCCAGCATAATCTTTGTTGCTGCTACTGCTATGTATTTCCATTTCTTCAGGCTGCAGGTACTGTTCAAGGGAGATTGAGCGATGTAATGAATATTGCTTCAAGAAATGTCCGTTACATAAAACTAATTATCAAAATCATGCTGCTCTGCAAATTAAAAATCGAGGGCAACACCAGAGAGAAGAAACTTCATGGCAACCAAGGTAAAATACCTCATCTTTACCTTAGAATATGGATAGCTTGCTCTTATATTATGGACAGATAATAATAGAGAATATATAAAGATGACATTTTGACTTATGCAGGAAACTATAGGTTGCACAGGGTGGAGTAAAAAATTCTCAGTTGCACAGGGTGGAGTAAAAAATTCTCAGTTGCACATATCCCGACAGAAACTCAGATTTCTGCCTCTAGCACAGCTATAAAGCAACCTGTGCAATTATGCACCAAACAACTAAACATTCAAAGCCAAAATCTGTAGAACATGAAGCAATCAGTAATAAGCTAGTTTACTACTTAGCCAGTTAAGGTTAATTAATTGGCCACAATGGCACCTTCCCAAATGCATACAAAAGTAAGACTCATAGACTAGGAATCAACCTTTAACTCGTACAGTGATGGCCAGTAACTGCTACACTAAAACATTCCACTACTGCCTCCAGCATAGCAACATTATTAAGTTTAAGTTGGGGCTTAATTGAATTTAGTTGAGTTGTTTGGTCTAGTATAGATGTCTAACAAGTCTTTATCTTTAATCTTCTGACAAAGTGAAGGAGATCCAAATCTATTCATTCATTCAAGACCAAACATAAGTGTTTATGCATTGGAACACCTTCATCTGTCACTTTATCATGGAAAAACCCTGCTGCCGGGAAAAATAAATGACAAAGAGTAGATATAAAGCAAGTAACAACAACAGTAGTTATTACAATCCAATGAGACATACCTGCCACTTCTGGTTGATGCTAAGTGCCGCAGGGTCAATTGAGGAGCAACAGGAGTTGTCTAGGCCATCAAATGTATCTTTATCAAAAACAAGTTGAACACTTTTGTCATGTCGGGGAGATTTGGCGCTTATTGCATCAAGTGTGGTCACTGAATCTTGTAAATTGGATGCAGAACTACCGGTAGTACCCTCTTGGATCATATCACTGTGGGATGACTCAATCTTACTAGTTAGTTCCCTGAGTTTTTGGTCTAAAAGAACACTCAAAGCATCACCAGCACTTCCATTAAACCCAGGAGAAAAAAATGTAGAATTTTTTAAGTAGTGCTGATTATTGTTAGCAAAAGAATCAATATTGAAGCTGTAATTCCTCTCCATTACTCGACTGGAGGACTGAGAGTCAGCCATGGATCTTATGGGAGATGAAAATGTAAATGAAACAACGTCCGTTCCTTTCTTTCTATTATCTACACCCCAGTTCATGGATCCTTCAATCGCCACATTACACTTTACAGACTTTTCATCTTTCTTGTTCAATTCATTATCAGCACTACTTACTTCAAAGTGAGTATTCACAATTGCAGATTGTTTCTTTTGAGATAGATTCTTTCCTTTAGTTGATGAAAGGTTATTTCCAGTATTATTGGTTGTTAAGCCTGTCTTTCTGGAACCAGTTTCGGCATTGGCAACCACCCTATTTACAGTCCGCTTTGGCCCGATAGTACCACTTGTGGACTTAGCTTTTCTGCCTTGCTGATTGAGAACAGAAGTCTTTGAAGTTGAAGTGTCTTTATTCGATGTATAATTCTGCTTCTGATTATTCTGCTTAAGCACATTGCTAGTCCTGCTCCCAGAAGTTCGTTTCTGTACTGTCCTTTGGGTATCTGGTTGGCTCTTAAAAGACTGGTTTGCTTTCACATCACTCTTTTCCTTCTGGTCTGTAGAACTCCTATTACTACTGGAGGTTGATCCCTCTTTTCTCTTAACATTGACCTTTGCTTGTGCTGTAACTGAAACTGATTTTTCCTTCTTCCTAATGTTGTCAGGATTTCTTTTTTCCAGATTCATAGAAGCCTTGACTGCAGGATACACTGATCCACCACGGCTCGGGCCAATATGCTGTCCTTTTGTATACCTTGCAGAAACTGACTCATTAGATTTTTGAGGCCTGGACACTCTGTGCGCAGCTTCCATTTTCTCTTTCAAATCCCAAATTCTCAAGGGAGCTGTAGAAACAATCGATGGTCTTTTATCCTTGGAAATTGCCTGAGGACTTGCCTCAATTATCTTTGCAGCAGCCTCCATAATGTAGGCAGTATTTTTTGTCAGGATGAATCCAGGACTCTTGATGGGGGACAGAAGCTTATGGTGGGTGATTGGAATTGATTTAGCTGATTTTGGTGGGAGCATTTCAGTTTGAAATCTCTCAATTGGTCGGTTCTGCACTTTGCGCACCCTTGATTCAACATTATTCTGATTAAACCACTCTTTATTAGGAACCCTGATATACTCCACTGAGTGATCTTCACTCCACAAATCGGGGATATTCCTATTATAATGAGACGCTCTAAGAGAGCGTACATCAGAACATGGAGTAGAACAAGGCTCGGGAACATTAGATGTTGGCAACGAATCCAAACCCATAAGTCTAGCAACTACCCCAGGTGCTCTAGCCCCATATCCTTCATCACTAGTTACTGATGAAGCACAATTAAAATCACTACTGGCCTTATTACTTGAACTCGCTCTACTCTCGTCCACCTCTATCTGCTAACACGGGGAGAGAAAAGAATTAATTACAAACCTTTACCCTTATTCTAAATGCGAAACAATCAGAAAAGGAAAAAGGAAAAAAAAAATTAAGATGAACAAAAGGAGAGTAATTCCCACCACATGAAGCAGTGACTTAGCCATCTTTCCAACATTTTCTTTTCCTTTCTTTGGTTCGTCTACAACCAAAAAAAAAAGTCATGTCGCCTAATTATAACAGGGCAGTAATTTCTAAAAGCACATATGCAATTTGATGATATATGAGAACATAAATGTACCATCTAACTCAGGATTATTTGAGAACAGTTTCTTCCGAGATTTTCCATTCCAATCAAATAAGTGAAGAAAGCCCCCCTTTGAACGTTTTTTCTCAACCTCCATTATTTCATCTACCAGCAAAATGGAACAACAAATAAGTGTTAAAAAATAAAATTCCAGAAGATAATATAGACAAAAAATCATCATACTTTTATCCGTAAATTTTCTAAAAAGTTCAAAATCATAAATGTAATAAATAAATAGCACAGATTTAAACCAAAACTATGCCTAGTTTAACCTACATTGCTCATTCAGCTAGAAAATAAAGCTTCAAAAAGCCCCAAAATTAAAGAACTATTTAACATGCAAACCACATCTTTGATCTTCTTAATCTCACATTTACAAAACCAGCGAACAAAATTAAGCAAAAGAAACAGACAATTGCAATCAAAAGGGAGCATCTTCAAACAGCAGCAACAAAAAAAAAAAAAAAAAAAATCATGAACAGAGAATCATATCAAGTAAAAACCCACCCAAAATCCTTTAAACGCAAAAGCAAAATCCCACTTTGCAAACTTCAAGCTCCTTCTCTACCTTCCTTAAGCAGCAAATTAAACACAATGGCAGTACAGAAAAACACCAAAGTCCAAATGGGTATGCTTCAAAAGGAACAAAAGAGACAAATTTTGAAGCATCTCAACCAATCTCACCATACATTTGTTACAACCACAGAAACCCCATTTAGTAACTCCCGCCAAGCACTTTCATTTCTGGTGACTTCTGAGTAAAGATTGGATTTTTTCTATTAAAGATTAGGATTTAAAAATAAAAGAAAAAATTTTGCTAAAAAAGCAGTAAAGAAAGGTAAAATCAGAAGAAAATATGGGTGACATTAGCAGAGATACTGCGAGAGAAATTAGGGTGAAATAAGAAATGGGTCCCTGAAGAATGGAGTACAGTAATTAAGTTTAAGTGGGTTGTCAGGACAGACAGTGGGGAAGTGAGTAGGAAATGTTTTGAGTAATAAATTCTAACTAAGAGACAGAAACTCTGTGCACCGCCGTAAATATTTTGAAGAAGTCTGAGGCTCTTTTCATGTGAAAAACTTGAGTTAACTCCACAGAGAGAGAGAGAGAGATTATCATATCTATTGCCTGATATTGGGACCCAAGAATTGGGGGTCTCTCCTAGCCAAATAAAGATTAGCTTCAGAGAGTTCTCACCAAATAATAGACCAAATATATACATATAGGTTAGTTTATAAGTTTTAAGTTATCTTAATTTTGTAGACGGATTATAAGTGACAGATTCATAGAACTTAAAATTAAATTAATATAGATAGACTTAAAACAGACAATATTTATTTGATCAGCATATAATTAAGCAGACGAAATATATTGCGAGAGTCAAATTGCAAGTAAACATAACATTTTTACGAATTGATCAATTACGAGCTACATGTCAGAATTATGAGAGAAAGTTTACGAGATTAAGATATAAATGTAATATTACCATTACTTATTCTTGTGGGCACTTTTAGGGTTATGTGAGTTTGTTAATTTGTTTTCTTTTGTATGTGGGGGCATGAAAGGTGCACTAAAAAGTTAATGAAGAAAATGGTCCTGCTCTTAAATATGTATGAAATTCTATCAACCATTAAGGCTCTTCTTTCTTTTAATCAGTGGCGTTATGTAATGTGTCAAAACTTGTCATTATGTTACCAACTTTATCTGCAATAACTTGTTGCCACTTGCCATCTTGAAACCATTTATAATACTCTTTCTTCTAGGTGAGAAAAAATAGAGGGGCGTAATTTAATAAACCCATGAATGTTTTACAATTCTAAACACCTCCCCACTAGCTTGAGAAGTTAACTCTGACCCCATTCCATCAAATTTCCTTTAATAAACTAAGAGATGACCATTCTAGACTTCAAAAACCCTATATTCAACCAACAGCTGTAGTTGAAGGCTGACCCTACCTCGATGTGGTTGCATGAGCCATTTTCAACTTTGTCGCTTTTGTTAGAGGTTGTTTCTAACCTCACGACACTATCATAAGTCGTGTTTTGCCTCATGGTGGAGAAATTATGAAGAAGACGGAAATGAGAGAAGGATAAAATAATACTTAGGGTTTTCATAAAAAAAGGTTGGAAGTTTGAAAGTACTCTTCCCACAAATGAAAATATCAAAATACCTGATTCATCAGTTAACTTTAATAGCAAAAACCGACCGAGTGAAGGTTAGGGTCCTATCTCGAAACTAGAAGGGTTATATGGAATTACAAAATATTTGAGGGTTTACTATAATCTCACCTATTATTATGTTATGTGTTCTGACCTTCTCATATTTTAATTCTTGGAGAATTAAATATTGAAACCTGCCCTTTGTCTTGTCGAGTCTCTCCTATCCAAAGACTCCAAAATCCAATAGAATTTCATAGAGAAAATCAAAAGGCTTATAAAAAATCAGTAACTTATTTCAGGGTAAAACATTTATGCATTTTTAATCCAAAACTTGTCTTTACCATTATGGACATTTTCTAGTAGTCCTTGTTCCCAGCAAAACTTTTGGCTGCAAGTTTGAAATTTCAGCACCAAAAAGTCAATACAAATGGAAGAATTTTTGCCTTCATAAACCCAAGATTAAATACAATAATTTCAGTTTCGCTTTCAATCTTTGAATAATGATTTCTCCCTTGCATATGAAATGACAATTACCAAAACTTAAATCAGCATGCTCAGATCGAGAATTTAAAACTATACGTCTATCTACACTATCATCAATTTACTCTAATAAATATCTTCTAATATCATTATATATATATATATATATTTTTTTTTTTAACCGAGGTGTCTAAGCCATTAATCATCGAGAGAGACTAATGCAACAACCCACTGGCATAGCCTTCACTTAAATCACGGATATTCATATAGAGAATCGATTCTGAGACTGTGTACCTATCTACAACATCTCTAATTCACCCTAATCATCTGGGCTACTCACAGATAAATCTCTACCATCATTGTTATTAACACATTTTACCAATCACCCATTCACCCTCTATCGTCATGGTTACGTTTGAGATTATGTTATTTAACTAACACAGTTACCATTAGCATGTCAAATGAAATATCGAAACCTTTACAAAACATGGACGAAAGGATAAATTATTATTTCAAATATGGATAAAGGTATTTGTACAAACTCTTTATACAAAGAAAGTCTGTACAAAATGACGTGACACATCATGTGAGTGTCACGTGACATAAAAACCTATCTAATATTATTATGACATTAAGTTACGTAGATCTCAATGTCATATGATATACCACGTTAGTTTGTACAAACTCTCTTTGTATAAGAATTTATGCAAATAGCATTACCTTTCAAATATTTATAATAAATATATAGATAATGAGCTAACCAGTTAGTGCTAGTCCCTTGTCCTGTTGAGACTCTATGGGATAAGCAAATCATACGGAAGATTTCAACTTTGGACCCCTTAAAGCTAAAATGGGTGATGAAGAAAATTTTGGATTCAACCAAAGTGGTCACAATTTGATTATTATTATTATTATTGTATCGAGCGACACATGAAAAATAAATTATTGGGTCGTTGACATATCATTATCTAACCTAATCTAATCAAATCTAATCTCTTTTGCTAAATTTAATTAATAAAATGTTAATCACACCAAACACTTTTGTGCACGGTGGTTGCATGTGCTCTTTCTCAAAATATTCTTCACAAGTCTTTGTCAAAAAATGCAGATCTTAGATCTTAGATTCATACTTTGACTATAGCCGGCTGTGTGTTGGCAACAATTTATGAACATATTGAAAAACGTTTTAGGGTTTTAGAAACGTTTTTAATCTATTTTAATCGAACGTTATGAGATCAATAGTGCCGAAAATACTCAAAAAAAAATTTCTTAAATATATTTTCTTTGTAATCAAGGTGTCCGAAGTCTGGACCACTTTAGGATCCCAAGAGACTAGTTGAAGTACGTGCAAACTAACCCAAACACCCCCGAATACCAAAAAAAAAGTGTCCAGACCAACTTACGCACATCTCAACTAATTGCTTAGATGGAAAATCGAACCTAAGACTGTACGTTTATCTACACTATCTCCAATTCGCCTTAACCATCTAGACTACCCATGGATGAGTTCTTTCTTAAATATGTTTAATGTCAATATGAACATGGAATTTGTCTTTTGATTTGAGAGCGTAAAAGAAAACTATCACAAATGATGATGATGATATTTGAGCAGCCAACTGGGTATAGTTGGAAGTGGAATTAATGGCGTTTGAGTTGTGAGATCACTGACGACTTGTCATTTTTCTTTTAGTTCATAAACAGACAAGTCGTCCATTAAGGAAAGAACAGTATGTCCTTCATTCTATGAAAAAGTGCTATATTCAACACCTAAAAAATGAAAGCAATGGCAAACATTTTTGAAAGGACATAAAACCCATCTAATCACATTGAATTGTTATAATATTATCATACAAAATCAAACAATGGGATTATATGAAGAGGTGTCTGATCCTGATTCCTCTACTAAGTCTTAACCTTGATCATGCGTTCCTCCATTATAGGATATTTTTACAGGTTATGGATAAGGATTGGCATCTTTAGTACTCCAGAAAGGATATATGTTAAGATGGCAATGCCATTTCCTAGGTCAAAAGTAAAACGCTGTGGAGAGAAGATAGTTTAAGAGTATGGCAATGAAGAAGGTAAGTTTAAAAACCTGCAATGGGTTTGAACATATCTCAGCTGCAAAAAGAGGAAATGTGTGTGCTCAGAGGGACGCCTTGAGACAATTATCACATGGACTAGGACCATATTTGCAGGTTTTCCTGTCAAAAGACTCTCCAAAGTGTTGGAGTAAGGTTTGTCTCCTGCATTCGACCTACAAAATTCAGATTAGCGAACAATGATTCATAAGAATAAACTTGAGTTTCAGCAACAGTGGGCAGAATTAAATGGAGTGAGAATTATCTTACCTTTAGTTCACAATACTGCTGCATTTTTTTAGCTTGAGCCATTGCGGTTTTAAAGCGTTCACTCTTAAAGCCTTGACCATTCCGCAACATACATACAATCCGACTAAAATCCTTCTTCTGGTATAGAACAATACATAGAGAAGGAAGATTATCTCTGCCAGCCCTTCCAGACTCTTGATAGTAGCTTTCAATCGATTTGGACAATGTATTGTGGACAACAAAGCGCTGAAAGTTGATATAAAGAAAAACATATATCAATACAGGGGAAAATAATCAATGTGGTATGCCAGAAAAACACATATGCTGATAGCAAGATTCTGATAACAATCACTAACACTGCAAGCTTTGTATGACTATGATAGTGCACACATTCAAAACTGCTTAAACTTTTAAACAACAGTACCATTATATCAACTGTTACTCAGCATTATATACAATATACTTCATTTTAAGACTATTATATTTACTCGTTTTCCATCAGATATTAAACCAATGTTACTGTATGTCAAAATGCCACCCAATAGCAGCCAGTATCACTGTCACTGTAACTGACAGGAAACAACTATTTGATTATTTGATAGCTGATTCATTTGCAATTACATTAATGAACCAGCACCAAGAGAAAACAATTAGCTTCACAGTTTGGAGAAAATATCACCTCACAACGTGTCAATAATGCAATCACAAAGCCGAATTGAAAGCCAGAGAAAAAACATCAAACAGAGAAACTGCAGATCTTATCTAGACTTACAACGTCTGGTTTGTCTATCCCCATCCCGAAAGCAATAGTAGCACAGACAATATGGACCTCTCCAGTGTGCCATTTCTTTTGAACAGAAACTCTTTGACGAGCAGCCAGACCAGCATGGTAATATACTGTTTTAATCTTGCATTTGTCATTTAAAAAGTTTGATACCTCAACACATTCATTCTTTGAAAGGCAGTAAACAATTCCACACTGATTCTTGAAACGATCCTTGATAAGCTGTCCAAGCTGCTTCAACGATTCCTTGGTTTTTGCAATCACTTCATACTTCAAGTTGGGTCTATCAAAGCTTGTCTCAAGGACAAGCGCATGAGGAATCCTTAAAGCTTTTAGAATGTCCTGCAGAAGAATCGGTTGTGATAAGAGAAACATTATTCAGAAAGAGACAGTAGAAAGATGCCCAATATTGCAACCCAATTACCTCACGAACTGAGGGGGTTGCTGTGGCCGTTACAGCCATCACAGGAACATTTGAAAATTTTTGCTTAAGACACCCTAAGCCCCTGTAATCTGGACGGAAATCATGTCCCCACTGGCTGAGAAGCACAAGTAGAGCAAGTAGAAATTAATATGAGGAAGTTTCTTAGTTCCTAGATATCAAAAGTACAAATTAGGAACGTTGCGCTGATTGATTCTCATTGTTTTCATTGTTCAGGACCCTGTATGTCTGCAAAACCTATCTGTCATATGATGGCTATGCCTCAACATCATATAACTTTTCCACTAAAGGCACTGTATCATGACTAATTCACAAATATGTTAACAGCTACAAGGAATAATTTCAGAATCACTGAACAATAAGAAGAGCAAATGACAAGATGATTCCCCCATTTTTCTACTAGTAGTTACCACAATGCAAAGAACATACCTTACACAATGTGCTTCATCAACAACAAAACCTGCAAGTTGTCCCTGTGATTAAGTGGGAGCATCACATCAGTAACCAAAATTTTTCATAATCTTAAGCTACTATATTTTTTAAATGTATTCTGCCATGATGGAAAGACCCACCTTCCGGTGTAAGCATTTTAGCACCTCAAGGAATGACGGGTTTCCAGCGATCCTTTCAGGAGTCACATACAAGAGCTTACATGACGGTTTATCTTTCCGAGAAACACAAAAACAAAATGTAAAAGTGAAAACGAATTGACGAAGAGTATCTAGTCAGAAAAGAACATTTTAAATTTGAATAATCACATCAGTACTCACAGAATATTGATGTCATAATCTGAAATAAGTTTTAGCACAGAAAACAGATTAACCCAAGCAAATCTAAAAAACAACGCTTATACACCTCCTCAAAAAGAACTTCTAGAAATACACAGGGGCAAATTTTTATATGAACTTAGTGCAGAGAAAGAACTGAACCTTGCCTTAGCTCTTGGAGGACAGCTGCCGCTTGGGAAGCAGTTTGTTGAGAATTCAAAAAAGTTGCTGGTATTCCAAACTTGAGGTTTAAAGTTATTATCTGATCCTGAATAAGCGAAAGTAGAGGAGATATGACCACTGTTACACCTGGTTTCAGAGTCGCTGGAAGCTGTAGAAATAATGACATAGTTACCAACATTACATTTGTGCGAAGATAAGAAGACAGCTGTTGCACATAGGAAGAAAGAAATATCACCTGGTAGCATAGACTTTTACCACCTCCAGTCGGCATGAGAACAAAGCAATCTGTCTTCGCAATAGATGCTTTACAAGCCTGATGCTGCAATGGTCGAAATGTTCTATTGCCAAATATAACAACATTCGCGAATTCCATGTCATCCAAGGCTTGTAACTCTTCAAAACTAAGAGTCCCATGTTCACCTTTTGATACCTGAGAGCATTGCTTTTTATTGGAAATAGATGACTCCGAAACACCAGTGATGCCACTCTCACAATCCTTCAATATAAACCAACCATTTCAGTATCCAGAATTACTTAGACCCAAATTTAAAAAAATAAAAAAAATTGAAATCCAGTGAGCCTAAAGTAACATAACTAAACAATACACAAAATTAGCCGAGGTGAATGATAAGTTGCAGCAAAGAGCTAAAACTACCATTCACTAACTCTTACCAAGGATCTTGAAAACTGTTTAGCCAAACTTCGAGTGCAGGAACGACTGTTCTGATCCTTTTGCTTGGGAATTCTGAAGTCCAAGTCTTCATCATCGCTTGAAGAGTCCAACTCCATCAAAGTTGGGCGCTTTCTAGGCTGAGGTGAATCATCCACAATGTCAATGTAATTTCTAGTACTGTCATCATTATCAGCCGCACCATTATTCAAAACCCTTTCGTCTAACATGTTATTCAAAGCTCCACAAGCTTCTGATTCCATAGCCTGTAAATCATCCCAGTCCTCACTGTCTTGCATGGTTTCAGCCAATGCGGCAAGAAAATCATCTCCACAATGCTCCACAGACACAAAATCTCGCCCATCATCACCTTCACAACAATCAAATCGTCCAAGAAAACTTTATATGCTTCAATTATGACCCATATCATGTTTCAAGCTATAATTTTTCCGTAATGTTACCGTACAGAAACACCAAATAAACAAAAAAATATGTATACAAAGTACCGTAGAGAGAAATCAAACGATTCAAGCACTTCTTAGAGGAAGCTTCATCAAAGCCAAAATCAAGAGCCAAGCTTAGCAATCGAACTTTCTCGAACTCAAGATCATGGCCGTCCATATCCGACGAATCGATTTGATTGAAGGGTGATGAAATGATTGAAAATCACCCGCGCTAAATTGTGCTATGGTTGAGACCTAGAGTGAGTGTTAAACCAGCTTATATTTATTGAGAATTCGAAGCTTCAAGACGTCACCGTTTAAGCTTCTCTTCCCGCCTTAATTGTTTTATGATTTTATCCGAACCCATAAAATTACCCGAAACAAACGGGTTTGGATTTGTCTTAATTTTTTTTTTAAATGAGTAAAATTATTCCAGCCGAGTTTGTATTAATTTTGAATTCGACTTGATTTGGTTAGGGATTATGATTAGTTTTGCTTTATTTGAAACCAAATCGAATCAATCCACATATGATTCAATTTCATTCAACGAGCATACTATTATACAATGATAATTTGAGATTGACAATTAGTTTGGCTTGTGGGCCACCAATAATGCTAGGGACACCGAAAATTTTACACCGAAAATGTGTACCGGCCTACGTGTAACACGTATCTGATTTGTTTAATAATTTTTTTCTAGTGAACAGCCGTCCATCAAATTTGGACGGCCGTTCACTTACATGGACGCCCGTCCATATTATATGAACGAGCGTCCATATACAAGGGAAGGGACGCCCGTCCCTGATTAAAATATAATAAAAAATTTTATAAACATTAGAGACGACCATTCATAAATTTTGGACGACCGTTCTTTACATTTGGACGGGCGTCCATTAGGAATGGACGCCAGTCCCTTACCTTTGGACGGGCGTCCATTAGCCCGTCCATGCTTTAAAAAAAAAAAAAAAAAAAAAATTCTAAACCTCTTCTACTTTGCTCTTCTTCGTCGTCTTCATTCTCCATCTCCTGGATTCTCATGTTAGTTCTTATATTACTGCCAGTTGCATTAATTGCTTTCCTTTCTTTTGCTTATTGAAACTGGCAATAATCAATCACTAACAACGAGCATTATTGTTACATTCCATTTTTTTGGTCAAATCACACACTTCTCTTCCGCCATTGGTCAAATCATGCACAAAGAATATCAACTTCGGCTTCATTCCATGGCACCTTGACATCAACAAGCTTGAGGAGTGTGTCAAGCTAAAGGCGTGAGCATCACCACGGTTTGTCCAACATTCATGCGGTTCCCAGTCTTAGTACAGCCTCTAGAAGCTTTTAGAACATTCTGCTATTTCTCAATTCCTCACAGACTGAACAGAAGAAAAAAGAAACAATGAGACTGGCCAACCATATAAGCAACAATTAATTCATACGAACAATATGCAAATTAAAATACATTTTCATGGGCGAGGATGGCAGAATAGAAGCACATACAGCAGAGAGAGAGAGAGAGAGAGAAGAATCAAGAAACCCAGATTTATATGGTGATGTTGGAATGCCAATTAATGCAACTGGCAGTAATCTAAGAACTAACATAAGAATCCAGGAGATGGGAATGAAGACGGGATGGGGAATGAAGACGAAGAAGAAGACCAAATTAGAAGAGGTTTAGAATTTTTTTTTTTTTTTTTTTTAAAGCATGGACGGGCCCGTCCAAAGGTAGGGACTGACGTCATCCTAATGGACGCCCGCCAAACTACGGGACGGCCGTCCAAAATTTATGAACGGTCGTCCTAATGTTATAAAATTTTTATTATATTTTAATCAGGGACGGGCGTCCTTTAAATGGAGACGCCGTCCCTTGTATATGGACGCCCGTTATTAATATGGACGGGGTCATGTGAGTGAACGGCCGTCAAATTTGATGGACGGTCGTTCACTAGAAAAAAATTATTAAACAAATCAGATGCGGTTACAGTAGGCCGGTACACATTTTCGGTGTAAAATTTTCGGGTCCCTAGCATTATTGGTGGGCACACCCCACCTCAATTTTTTTTTAAATTTAATAGTACATTTTTGGATTTTGTTATCCTAACAGAAATTTTTTATTCTGTTACGAATTTATAAGATGTAACATTGACATTTTTATATATTCAGCGAGAAGTGGTTTAAGTGGTATATATATATATAGTAATTCTCTGACTCTCTTTGGGTTAGACGGCAAACCCTTTACCCAGTTGAGTTAGTATATCCAGGAAGTCTTATGTTCAAATCTCTAGAAAGGTATCTATCACATTTATGCAATTACTTTAGTTCATTGGTGTTTCGTGACCTTAGAAATAGGCAAGCTCCAATAAGGCTTGGATACCTCAATTACCTTAAAAAAAAAAAATCTCTAGTTAGGACCATCATGTTAATCACCTCTAGATTCTTGCATGTAAAATATCACTTCACTCAATGAGTTAGTATAATGGCATTCAAGCATAATTAGGGATGGGGTTTGACCCGCATTGCCAAGGATCCGGCTCGAACGAGGTAGGGATTCAAAAAAATCGGGGAATGGCACAAGGACAGAGAAGAAAAAATTTCCTGTCCACTTTATCCCTGCCCGCCCCAAACTATATATTATTGAAAATTTATATTTTTTCCATTAGATTTTATATAAAGTTAGCATCCCATGATTTCAGAATTATGATTTTAAGTCATATGTCAAAATTTGTAATGTTTATCTTAAATTTATTATTGTATATTTTAATTATAGAATAAAAATAACCTAAGATGAAATGGTACGATTAATATTAACTTATATTGCTATTGGATAACTAATTTATTATTATGTTTTTATTCGTTTGTTATATTTCTTAATTCTTATTGTTAATTTATTTACATACGATTGGTTTTTGCATGTTTTTCTTTGATAGTATTACACGAGATTAATTATTAAATATTTAGTAAAGTTCAAATATTTAATTTAATTCATGCTGAAATATCTAAGTATCTTGTTTGCTACATGGCGACATTGAGTCATGAACAATTGAACACGGTACAATTAAAGTGTTAATTTTACAAATTTTATAAAAATTATATATTTTATAATACTTTTTAATTAATAGGTTGATCTTTAAATTACCATCAATATAATGATGTTTAATTAATTTTATCTTCTAAATAATATTTTTGCTAGTGCTTATATTAATAAGAATCTAATAAAATGTCGGCAACAGCCTTTGACAAAAAACAAAACTCTTCATGCTTAATCAATAATAAATTTGCTAACACATAATTTGATTTAGGAAACTAACACAAACTGTTCACCAGTTCAGATTGATGATTCAATTCATTAGCAAAACACAGAGCCTTTATATACTAAGAAAACAGATAATATTTATTATTATTTTTTTTGAGGGGGTTACCGAGGGTGTCCAAGCCAGCTTATGAACACTCCGACTCGAACAAAGTGTCCTAATAATATCAACACACGCTGCAAACCTTTAACCCTAAGCCTTATCCACTCGGCCAACTCATTGTTGGTTGATAACAGCTAATATTTGTTAACACATAATATTAGCTCCAACTAATTAACTGCTAGTGCTACAACTGAAGAAACATACGAACTAAATATTAATGGAAAAACACAATGCCTACATGGATATAGCTAGCTAAACCTAAACTAGGTCCACTGGAATCCACATTACGTCCTGACCAAATAACCTCTGATAACTTTGTTAAAACAATAAAGTCGTCAATTTGTACAGCATCCATCCCATTTCGCTGCTCGCAACACCAACCTGCTCATCAATCCCTTTCCGAGTGCTCGCAACACCAACATGCTCATCAATTTATTACCATCCTTGAAACAGCCAAATGCTCACCACTCTCATAATACGTACTTGCCACACCAAAAGGCTCATCACTCTCATTACAAGTGCTCGCAACGCCATTACAAATGCTGCAAACCATTACAAGTGCTCGCAACGCCAAAAAGCAAAAGATTATCACTCTCATTGCAAGTGCTTCATACACCAAAAGGATCCTCTCATTCAACAGTGCATCCCCCACATGGCCTCTCATTCATTACAAGTGCTGCACACCAAAATGTCATCTCTCTCATTACAAGTGCTTGCCACGCCAAATACTCATCTCTCTCATTACAAGTGCTTCGCACGCCAAAATGCTCATCACTCTCAGACAAGCCTCGCAACACCAAAATGCTCAACACTCTCATACAAGTGCTCGCAACACCAAATGCTCATCATCTCATCACAAGTGCTAGCAACACCAAAATGCTCATAATCTCATCACAGTGCTTGTCCAACGCCAAAAATGCTCATCACTTCATCACAAGTGCTTGCAACAGCCAAAATGCTCATCACTCTCATCACAAGTGCTCGCAACCCAAAATGCTCTCACTCTCATCACAAGCTGCTTGCAACACCAAATGCTCATCACTCTCATCACAAGTGCTCGCAACACCAAAATGCTCATCAATCTCATCACAAGTGCTTGCAAGCCCAAAATGCTCATCACAAGTGCTCGCAACACCAAATGCTCATCCACTTCATTACAAGTGCTCGCACACCAAAATGCTCATCAGCTCATCCATAGGAAAACTTGTAATATGCAATCTATGAGTGAAGATCATAAACTTCAGACTGCTTGCAGTATCCAAGTGCTTATCAACCATTAGGATACTATTTCTCATGTTCATCAACATCGATAGGAGTGGTTGCGATATTTCAGTCATCCATCTCATTAGAAGTATTTGCAAGATCAGGATGTTCACCAATCTCGTTGGAGTAATTGCAATATGAATTCATCAATCTCATTAGGATGCTTGCAATATGCAGAAGTTCAATTGATGAAGTACTGTTGATCGAGCCTGACGTATCAGAAGCTTCTTCATCCTTAACGAAAGTGAACCCGTAAGCAATCACGGCAAAAAAAACACAAGCAAAATTGATGACATATAATTGTTCATGATCTTGGTACCCAAAAGTGCCATAATGTAGCAATCAATTGGACTACTGAGAAGCCATACTCCACTGCCCCAAGTTGCTTTCCGCCTGTACTCTATTTGCCATGGAATTTCTTCACTGATACCAGTCAGAACGGTCATCAGAAAACCAAGTACCGATAACGAAACGCAACAATACGGAAATCCGCTGGCTTTTTGCGAATCTCCAAAAAAGATGAAATTGCTTCCAGAATAACGAAGACCGCCGCGAGTGCACGTT